CCGGTCCTTCAGAACAGCCACCTGGTGAAACCACACATTTAACTCCTGCAAATTCAACTCTGTGTGTATACCCAGCAAAGAGGGAGCAAGAGAGCAAGAACAATTTAAATAATGAATGTTGTTCCACTCAATGAATGTCTGTCCTCCCCGGCTGTCCTGGGGATTAAATGAATTAATGCATGCGAAGCACTTAGGGCTGTTCCCGGGACATTCTAAGGGCTGCAAGGTGTGTGCCGGATCTTCTCCATTTGTGCCTCCAGACCCACTCTCCAGACTTCCCCACCTGCTCTGTGTCACAGGAGGCTTTACCTGGGCTCCCACACCCTCTGGCTTCCTACTGAGTTCAGCCAAGAGGAGGCACAAGCAGGAGGTAAGAGGACAGGAGGGGAAAGGATGTGAGGACAAAGGCATTGAGGTCCTTATTCCCTGCTGCACTTGATTGGCTTCTTCCTTCACCTATGGCTGCTGCTCCTGTCTGGACCCTTGTCCCGCAGCCATAGTTCTTCCCAGGTCCTGGTAACCCTCCCAACCCTGTCCCTTGGGAGTGCTGGCTTCTTGCTGCTGCTAGTTTCAGGAGGTGTTACCACACCTTATTGGCTCCTGTGTCCTGCCCTTTGCTGTACACAGTCCCTCCTGCTGGGACCTCGATTGGTATGAAATGTTAGTTAGTAGTAGTGGTAGGAACAGCAGTATTCCTTTTCTGTGAACCCTCCCTCAACCTTTTAGACTTGGCTCAAATGTCACCTTCTCTTTGGTCAAGTCTTTCCTCAGATTCCCCTGCAGAGCCAGTCCCGTCATCCTCTGTGCATGCAACAGCCCTTTATTCCCACTTCTGCCACAGGACTCCCCAATTTGTATTGTAACTTCTCTCTGTACATGCCCATCTCCCCACTAGACTATGTGTGGCCCAGACACAGGGTTGGGGTGTGAGCATGGAGGGTGAGGGCAGACAGGATCAAGCCAACAAGCCCTTTCCCCAACTGGGTCTGTAGCACTCTGTGCTTCAGTTTCCTTATCTGTAAAATGGGGATAAAAACAGTAGTGTAGTGCCTAAGGCACTTGACTGCTAACCAGAAGGCTGGCAGTTCAAACCCACCAGCCACTCCTCGGAAGGTTGGGCAATCTACTTCTGTAGTGATACTGCCTCAGAAACCCAAGGAGGGGTCACTATGAGTTGGGGCCGACTCGATGGCACATAACAACAACAACTTCATAGGATTGCTGTGAGGATTCAATGAGTTAATAATTGCTAAGAGCTGGTTGTTTTTTTTTTTTTTTTGGATGGTGGAGTCAGCTGTGAAAGACTTCTTCTTCTTTTTTTTTTTTTTAATTTTTTGTGATTTGGGTGAAAGTTTACAGAGCAAATTCCCTTTCCATACACCAGCTCATGTACACTTTGTCTCATGACATTGACTACAATTTACCACAGTGCAACAGTTCCCCTCCCACTTCCTCCACATAGTGACCTCTTCCCTGTGTCCTTCCCTCCATGCACTCCTGCCCCCCAAGCTTTTGCACTGTGCATTACAGCCCTTCTATTCCCCAGATTGACCTAGTAATTGTTAAGAGCTTTTTTAATCATTGTTAAGACAGTCCTAGTTGCTGTTGAGTTGATTCGACTCACCGGCAACCGGCAACCGTATGTGTCAGAGTAGAACTCTGCTCCACGGGGCTGTCAAAGCTGATTTCTCAGAAGCAGACTGACCGACCTTTCTTTCAAGGCACCTATGGGTGGACTTGAACTCCCTGTCTTTCAGTTAGCAGCCAGTGGATAATGGTTTGCACCACTGAACTCCACGAGCTTAGAACAGTGACCGGCAAATAGTTTTGTTCTTTAATACTTAGAATACTACCTGTCACATATTAGGAACTCAGTCAGTATTTATTGTATGTGTGAATGAATAAATGAATGAATGATAAGCAAACTCCTAGAAGGCAAGGGCTCTTTCTGAGACTCCTATTCATCTCCCACCCCCACCCCTACCCCACACCTTGCCTAGGGCAGGGTACACCACAGATATCCAGAAATGCATGATAGCTGAACTGACGGTAGATACTTTTTGAGCAAATGAGTAACCAAGTTCCTGCAGAGTGCAGGTGCCATGTGCAGAGGGATAGCCTTCTCTTCAGAAGCTGGCTCTCTGGGAGAGAGACTTTGGTCTCTGATCACTGCCCACCTTGGTATCCTTGGCTACCAGGAAGGCCATGCAAGTGGCTGCTGGTGGCCTTAGGGAAGGTGCACAAACCCAGAGGAGCAGCTTCCCGTAGACAGCCTGGAGCCTCTTGGCTCTGCCAGCAAAACTTGGGGACAGTGTGGTTGTTTACTGAATGGTTACTACATGCTACAGCAGCCAGTACTTGAAGTCCAATTTAATTTCCACTGTACTGTGAGGACACCTGGTGGCACAGTGATTAAGATTCAGCTGCTAAGTGAAAGGTCAGCAGTTCGAACCCACCAGCCTGGTGTGTGGGACAAGGATGTGGCAGTCTTCTTCCATAAAGATTTATAGCCTTGGAAACCACATGGGCTGTTCTATTCTGTCCTACAGGGTCACTATGAGTCCGAATTGACTTGATGTCAGTGGGTTTGGTTGGTTTGGGTCCTGTGAAGCTCATCTCCCAGCTGAGGAAACTAAAGCTCAGACAGATTAAGTAGTTTGCCCAAAATCTTCTCACTGGCAGTGAGTGACAGGTTTAAGATTTGACCCCGGTACGGTCTAACTCCAAATAAAAAAGCAACAACAGCAGATATTCATTGAGGGCTCACTAAGTGCCAGACTCTGTTCTAAGCTCCCTCCATACAGGTAGCTCCCATTCAGCCCTCACAATAACCTTACTAGTATTAATACCCACATTTCACAAATTAGAGGCACAGAGAGGTTCAGCAATTTCCTTAAAGTTACACAGCACTTTCCATTACAACACACTACTCTAAACTCCACCTTCAACAACCAAGGGTTTAGATTACAATTTCCAAGGAGTAAATTTGTTTTAAAACACTAAGGAAGGGGCACCTTGAAAACAATCACCAGCAATCTGTTAATTTTACCCAACATGGCCCTGTGCTGCCATCTCTATCCTCTGCTGTTCCATCCCCTCTCCCCAGTTCATAGAAGATCCCAGCCTGAGAGGGGAAGATGGCAGCTGTCTTCTAAGCAACAGGGTACAAAGTCTGGCCCAGGCCTAGCCCAGTTTGGTGCCGCCCTGCCTGTACACACAGGGGCATTAATAGGTAATGACTCTTGTAAGAGGAAGAGGGGAACAGTGAATACACAGAGGCCTGAGGCCCTTTAGAGAGCATGGGGCCTGGGGAGGAGGGACGGGGTTAACACAGGGGCCAAGTCAGACAACAGGACCTCAGAGCTGATTCTCCCAAAAGAAGCAAAGAGTAGTACCCCACCAGGAGAAGGCCAAAGAGGACTGGCTTTCCCTTCAGCCCAGGGGCAGGAAACTGAAATTCAAGCCTGAGTCTTGGGGTGGTGACAGGAGGCTAGGCTCCTTCAAAGTAGGTTGCCTGAAATCTACACTCCCCAAATGTCCTTAGCAGCTGAAATCTCCCCCCTCATGCCCCTCTGCAACAGGATGTACTGTAAGCACTGTTTCAGGTTCCCCTTGTTGTTTGCCAGCCCCCCCAAATCCTGCTAAGCTTCCATCTCTTTCTGTCTCATCCCTGGGAGCAGGCTCAGGGATGCCCAAAGGCTTGTTTCTGGACTTCTGCCAGTATGAGTGCCCCCTTGTGCCCCCTCCAAACCTTGATCCCAACACCCAGCCACCCTAGTGGCTCCCACCCACACCACCAGTAATGTGAGAGCACAGTCTGGTTCTGGCATAGAGTGGGCACTCAAACATGTTTATTAAATGAACAATTGAGCCCCAGCCTCTCGCCCCAAACCCTCAAATGGCCCTAACACTGGTTGGTTTTTTGGGTTCCTCGAGGCATCTCTGTAGGGAAAGTAGGGACTAAGCTCACTAAACTTGCCTACCTCAGCTCAGGCCTGGGGGGAGGTTTTACTTGACCTAAAGACGCTGCCCCTCTGGGGTTCTGGGAGAGCCTCAAGGCACATGGTTCCTGGACCTTCAGGGAGGGCCTGTGGGTAGCTCCAGACACCCTGGCTTCACATCCTGGGCTCTGAAGCATCCTAAGGCCTATAGGGAGGTAGACTAGTCTCCTGGTAGAGTCCTTTCTGGCTTTAGGGCCTCCACCAATCCTGCACAGCCTTGGAAACAGTTCTGAAAGTGCCCTGGGTGAAATCCGGCAGCCAGCAATGATGTTTGAGGGCCCCTCACTGGACACACTGGGGGAGATGTGCTTTGCCTAGATGCTCTGGGGGGCCACAGCCCAGCTCCTCACACCAAAAAGATGACTGCAGGACCTGGTCATCTGTGTCGTCCCACCCTCAGTGACCGACTCTTCCTCTCCTTTTCCCTCTAGCCAGCACCAGTGCCTCAGCTGTTTCCCAGGACCTAAGAAATCCCCTTAAGTGGGTAGGGGGTTCCCTGACATCCTTTGAATTCCTGTTTTGAGGTCAAAGGGCAGAAAGACAGCCATTTTCCTTCCTCCCAGTCCTCACATCTCCCACACTGCCCCAGACTCTCCCCACATGCTTTGATAGCCATGGTCTGGAGGCAATAGAGGGAGGGGTGTCTGCCTACTATGGGACACCTCAGAGAAGTGTCCAGTCTCAGGCCAGGGTTCCAAGGAATTCCAAGCCCTGAGACTGTCCCAGTCCTTGGAGGGCAAACACAAAGGGCATCTGCAAGAGACCAGTTTAGGACCACTGAACCTAGAACCCCAGTGCCCTCTCCCACATTTTACTGGAGATCTCTGCTGGTGGCCCGATGGGCTTTGGGGAGGGGTGATCCCGGCCTACCTAGACCTTCGGGCAATTCTGGAAAAGGGAAGGATGGCGCCACAGGTGCCTATCCCCCAGCAATCCCCCTACCCATCCCACTCCAGAGTCTGGGTCCTAAGCACTTAGAGTGCCCCTTGCGGCTCTGACCTTGTGCCGGAATTCCCGGGCCACCTTCCTGTCCATTGCTGGGCGGGTTGTAGCCGCGTCGCTTCGCGACCGGCTCTTTCGGGTGCGCGGCTGCCGGGAGTTGGCAGGTGCCGGGACCGCGGCGGGCGGAGCCTCCTCCAGGACTGGGGGCGGGGTCTGGAGTAGTGGGGCGAGGCCTAGGAGTGGCGGAAGCCAGGCAGGGCTGCTGGGAGGAGACGTCTGTCCTAATCTGCTCGCCGCCCGCTAACGTCGTGAGCAAATGAACCGCGGTGTGTAGTGTATGTGGTGATGGTTGTGGGAATGATTGGGATCGATGCTAGCTCTCCTGAGGTGGCCTGTGAACACACGAGGTTGCTTGCGGGAGAGGGTTGTGGAGGTGTGTGGAAGAGTCTTGGGATTTTCTGTACGGGCCTGAACGTAGAGGTCCAGAGACTCTTCGCATACATGGTTTGCGGGTTGGATAATCTGGTCAATGTTCCCTGAGTACACAAACAGAGGCCCACAGACCCTCCTGGGGCTGTTAGGCGTTGTTGCGCATATGCCCCTCAGCATAATAATCCGATGGTGTCCAGCTGATTCTGACTCAGGGAGACCCCGTGCGTTACAGAGTAGAATTGCTCCATAGGGTTTTCTTGGCTGTAATCTTTACAGAAGCAGATAGCCAGATCTTTCTTCTGCTGTGCCACTGGGTTAGTAGTCCTGCACAAACCCTTTCCACCACCCAGGGAACTCTACATTTCATAACAGCCTCCTCAATGGACTTTTCCAACTAGGAAGAGATCCTTGATCTTTGGATTCCATAAAGGGCAGGGCTGGATCTTATTGTAGCCTGCAGGGGGAACAGTGAACTCCCAGGAGCCTGCAACAGTGAGTGGGAGTGCCAGGCTCAACCAACCCCTCCTGACTCTGTCCCCTCTTATAGTAACAACCACCACACACACATACACACTCACTGAAGCATGGAAAGGCCTGGCAGTGATAAATACGACTGGCTGTTAACCAGGACCCAGACCCTATCTGGGCCATTTGATTCAATTCAACCAAAGTTTGATGAACTCCGAGGTCTAGCGCCTGGGTGCAGAAACAGCAATGACAGGTCTAGGAAAGATTGAGACAAAGCGGGGGCCAGGAGAGGAGTGATAAAAGCAGGTGTGAGTGGGGAGATGGGGGACCTTTAATTACAGAGATATAATTGTCCCTGACAACATGAGGACTTGACCCATTTGTACTGTGTCAGGGGTCAGGGGAAAAGGAGATGGAGTCAGGCAGCTACCTGCAATTGTAACTTCAAGGGCCCTGTTGAAGACCCCCTCCTCTGTATCCCATCCTCTGCTAGCTATTTGCAACCATATTATTTTTACTTGCACTAATTTGTTTCCTGGTTTAAGATGTAAATCTCTTCTGGAAAAGAACCCTAAAATACTGTGTTTTCACCTTATTATTAGCCAATAAAAAGGAAAGGATTTATGAGATTTTCAAAGGTCCAGAAAAGACCCCACAAAATAAGTATGTTCTCCAATTTGCTTCATTGGTCCTCTACGTTTTTTAAATATGTCACATGGTGGTTTATTCCATTTTTAGAATTCAGGCAGAGTGGTAGATGTCCTTGGAAGAGGGAATGGGGTTCACTGGCCACCTCATACTCCCTTCTTCCTTAATGCACCCCTCTTGGTTTGGGAGACAGCACTGAGCCCTGTTCCTCCCCTCCCATGAGTGTTCATTTCCAAGCTTCCTCTGAGATAGCCCTGCTTTTGCCCATTTCTTAACCAGTGCCCATTTAAGGCTTCATCCTTGGCTTTCTCTTCTATGCTTTCCCACCTATCTCCATGGCTTCAAATACCCTGTATGAGGACAGCTGTGTGTGCTTTATATACTGTATTTCCAGAACAGTATCTGGCATGGCATAGATGCTCAACAGATACGCTAAATGCATGCATGAATGAGTGCATCCGAAATCTATACCCATGCCCAGGGTAAGTAAGCACAAGTAAGCCCATGCTTACCTTGCTTACCGAATACTCCATCTCTGTCAGGGATTATAAATTTGAAAATAGGCTTTGATTCTGCAGGAAGGTGTTTTGGGGTTGGGAGACAGAGATGCCAGCCATACCTAGAAGCAGATCTTTGATGTGGTGAAAAAACGCAAAATTGTTCACTACAGATTAATAAGTAAGTATGCTTACCTTACTTATTGGGTAATCTGACACTATTCTGGGCCAACACCATCAACTCCACCATCATCATCTGCAGGGACTAGCATCTAGTTAGTGTTCCCTAAGCATCGACCACATGAATGATATACAGGTTCAGAAGGCTCTCGGGCTCACACCATCATTTTTAAATTTCTCCTGGACAAAGAGTCTATAGAGCTCTGGTGGTGTAGTGGTTGAGGCATTTGGGCTGCTAACCAAAAGGTCAATGGCTCGAACCTACCAGCCACTCCACAGAAGAAAGATGAGGTGGATCTGCTTCTGTAAAGATTCACAGCCTTGGAAAACCCAGTGGGGGTCACTCCAAGTTGGAATCAACTGGATAGCAGCGAGTTTGAGTTTTGGACAAAGAGTCTATCTTGTTCAAAAACTTAAACTCGTTTTTGCCAAAGTCTGGCCTTGATAGAGCAATAATATGGGAGTATGGAGCACTTCTATCATTCAGCAAACATTTCCTGAGCTGGGCCTGGGTGGTGCTGATCCATTCCCTAGAGGAGCTCGATGCTGGGAGTAAGGTGGGCACTTGGGGACTCAGATGAAGCCTGTGGAATGACAAGAACACAGAGTAGGACTCTGCAGGCTATGGCCCTGGTTCTGTTACAGACCACTGACCACTGGCCATTGAGTGTTATGTCCCAGGGTCTCAGTAAAATGAGAGTAGAAATAGACTCACCAGCATCCTGGGGCTTTCATGTAAGAGGCTTTCAGGACCCAGGTTCCTGAGCCAGGGACTTCTGAGCAGTAAGGAGGATGGAGACTACACAGACTGCCTCCTTCTCCTCCAGGGCACTTAGCAGTGAGTGATCTGAATCCAGCTTCCCTTCCTAAGGAACAGCTGCAAGCCAAGAAGTGCAAAGGCTGAGCCATTGCCAGGCGCCTAAATTATGGTAATGAACTGGGCAGTCCCTTGCTCCAGTTCTGGGAGGAGCCAAGCTTGCCAGGAGGGCCAGAGGGAGCTCTAGTGCGTGAGAGCTAGAAGGATCTCCGCAGCGAAGTGGAGGTGTGACCCTGCCTTCGCTGGGAGAGGCGCCTCGGGACCCCGGCCTGCGCTCAGGCTCCCCAGTCCCCACACGCTCCTATGAGGGCCCCGGTCCCGCGCGCCCGGGTGGCCGCGTTCTGCCTACTCCTCGCTTGCGTCTGGCTGCCCCGGGGTGAGCCAGCAGGCGAGTCCCTGAGAGTGCGGCGCCTCGGTGAGAGGAGTGTGGACTCTGGAAACCTCGGTGAGGGAAAAGTTTAGGGAAAGGGCCTGGGAGTGTTGGAGAGAGGGAGGAGAGACCGGGTTTAAGGGAGGGTAGAGGGCCGTGGGGGGCCGGTGGGGCGGGACACGGAAAGCGAGAGAGGCTGGCATTGCTAGGGGAAAGGGTCCTGAGCTAGGCGGAGTGAAAGACACCCATCGCGGGGAACTGGAGAGACCAGGACCCAGGGAGTGAGAGAAAAGAGGGAGAGCCTTGTTGAAGAAGGGTACCAGGGAAGGAGGGAGAGAATTTGAGATGGTGCAGAGAGAGAGAGGATGAGGGGATGCCAAGTGATGTGGGAAGGAGTTCCAAGCAGGTGTGTATGGGGTGCAGGGCAGGGGATGTGCAGAGGTCGCAACAGAGGGAGGCAAAGCATAAGTGGAGAGTAATCCACTTCCCCAGCCACAGCACCCAGGCCTCGCAGTAGTGCAGAGCTGCAGCCAGAGCCAGCCCAGGAACCCAGGTGAGTAGGGGTTTGGTTGTTGCTGCCCCACCCGCTGTTGCCATCTTCATTCCTGAGCGGGTAGGATGGGCCCCGGGGAAGCTGGGTCTGGAGGAGGCACAACCCATACTAGCCCTCCCATCCACTCCAGTCTTGTTTCTCATCTAGTCTTGGTCACCAGGAGACGACCCTTCCCATCGGGGATGCACCAACAGTGATGGGAGGCCAGGTAGGAGACTTCCAGGGAAGGGGGGTTTCTGCTTAGATCTGAGGCTACCTGGGAGCTTTATAGATTGCAGAAAGGCTGTCTCTGGAGTTATGCAAGAGGGAATAAGCAGCTTTCTGATACCTATTTGAAGTGTGCAAATTCATATGACACTCTCCTAATCTCTTGGGGCTCTGTTGCAGACTCATTTGTGTGTGTGTATATGTGTGTGTGTGTAGGGGGTATGGAGCGCCAAGCCCCTATTGGGGAACAGCTGAGTGTCCCCTCCCCCAGGGTGGAAGTGGGAAAGTGAGGGCTGAGGAGAGAGTTCTCTTTTCCCTGCTTGGCCTGGGAAGGTCCTACACCCTGTCAGAGGCCCCTCTCTATACCTTCCCCTAAGCAGTGCCCCAGAGAGTAGAGGGAGGAAAATTGGGCCACATGGTGGGGGTTGCCAGGAAAGCTCAGTTGAGTCTTGATATCTCTTTGCTGCTCACCCTCCTGGGATCCTCTGTGTCTGCAGGAGAGATGACTGTTTTGTTTTCTCCCTTCACCAACCTTCCTTGGTCTGTGGGTCAGGTGACTCACGTTCTGTTTTCAATCCTGCCCTATATTTGCTGCCTCCTTTCCACAACTACAGACATGTTACAAATCCAGCCCACCTGTGGCCAGGCCCCCAGAGCAGCTTGAGCCGCTCCTCATACCTTAGCCCCTCTAGGATCAACTTCACTAGCCCCTTGTACCAGCAGCTTGGGGGATAGTTATTTATGATAGAAAATAATGTGTCCCAACTACCTGCCCTTTAGACATACGAAGGCCTTGAGATGGGTGGGTGGGGTGCACACCTATTCTGTAACATTTGAATTATTGGGGTCTTTTATTTCTCATATGCCTGCTTTTCCAGGCCCTCAGTTTTAGAATCACAGTTAGATACAATTTGAGTTGAGAAACTGAGGTAGGTGGGTGATTTACTGGGCTCTACAGTCAGCCAGTAGAGCAATGTCTCTTTGTGGAGCCAGTCCTAGTTCCTCTGCACCATG